GTTATAAATTTTGTTTCACAGTTGTAATCTTTGAGCAGGGAGAGACACTTGCCTTTCACACCCTAATCTTTGTAAGTAGTCACAAAGGAAACAGTTTCTGTTGCATGCTTAACATCTTCCATGGAAACGCTAGCCATTGCTGTAGCCAACTGGACATCATTGTCCCATTAACAGTGACAGCACTGTGGGAAGTGCCCTCCTTTCCATCCAGGAGCTGTCTTTGTCCCTCCACTTTGTTCCTTCCACTCTCCTATACTCATTTTGCTGCTATACATTGTCTGCTGTGTCATCCCTCCCTCTGTACAGGTCCTTCCTGTCAGCCATGGACACGTTAGTATCTCCCCCAGTCAACCAACTTGCACTCAGTTCACATCTGCTCCATCACTGCTCTCTACCCGACCCCCATGCTCCAGAGCCAAACTTCTCTAACAGTCTTTTGTTTACTCTTCAATGCAATCCAAATCGGCTTCTTCCCCCACTGCAAAACTCAACCCCCTCTTGGTATGTTGCCTATCCCGTGATCATTTCTCTGCCCTCCTGTAACCTATGTGTTGTTCTCTTGGGTGTATGCACGATAGCCCTCCCTGAAATGTTCTTTCCCATGGCTCCTGTGGTACCACGTCCTGGTTTTTTACTGACTCTGCGTAACTACTTTCCTGTCTCTCACATAGACTCCCTTTTCTTTTTTATATTTATTTATTTTTTTTAGGTTTACTTAGTTGTAATTGGACACAATACCCTTATTTTTATTTTATTTATTTTTATGTGGTGCTGAGAATTGAACCCAGGGCCTCGCCCATGCTAGGTGAGCGCTCTATCGCTGAGCCACAACCCCAGCCCCATAGACTCCTTTTTCTGTACAACTTTGCATTAAGGAATTTCTTCAAGTACATCCTGGGCTCTCTGTTTGTTATGATCTGAGTACTTGTGTAACCTCAAATTCATGTGTTGGAAACTAATCACCAGYGAGATGGTATTAAGAAGTAGGGAACTGAAGGAAGAGATTATGTCCTGAAGGCAGAGCCCTCATCAATGGGATTMGTGTCCTTACCAAAGAAGCCCCAGAGAACTTCCTTACTCCTTCTACCAAGTTAGGACAGAGTGGGAGGGCACCATTTATGAGGAATAGACTCTCACCAGACACTGAATCTATTGGTGCCTTGATCTTAGACTTCCTAGCTTTTTGAATGGAAAGAAATAACTGCTTGTTTAGAAGCAACCAAGGCTATGGTGTTTTGTTATAGCAGCACTAATGGACTAAGACATTCTTTTCTCCTTCTATACCTCTCCTTGAAAGATCTCATCTACTCTCGTGGCTTTAATTACTGTACATATGTGGATAACTCCTAAAATTTACATTTCCAATCTAGTCCATTTCTAACTCTGCCATTATGTATCTGGCTACCTACCTCACCTCTCTAATTCCATATAAACAGGCATCTAGAATTCAACTTATCCAAAGACAGGTTCCTGATCTGCCTCTCCCACTTCTAGTTCTCTTCACAATTATTTCCGGCCATAGTAGATGGGAGCACCATTTATCCAGTTGCTCAAGTCAGAAACTTGGTTCCATTTTCCTTCCCTGAACATCTCACATGGTCACAGTTGTTTTCCTATTAGTTGACATTGTAAGATAAAGTTAAGAATCTTTTTTTTTTTTTTTTTAATTTTTAATATTTTATTTTTTAGTTTTCGGTGGACACAACATCTTTGTTKGTATGTGGTGCTGAGGATCGAACCCAGGCCGCACGCATGCCAGGCGAGCGCGCTACCGCTTGAGCCATATCCCCAGCCCCAAGTTAAGAATCTTCAAAAGTCCCTGCCTGCCTTGAAGGCTGACCTCCCCCAGATGAGACTCCCCTTTACATCTGTCCCCACCATTCTGACTCCTGTGTCTTCCTGTGGGCTCAGCTCCTTCCAGCCCCAGGCTCTCATTCTTGCTTCTCTCCTGACATTCTTCCATGACTAACTCATCCTTCAGTTTGGGGCTCAACTGTCTATGTGTTCTGTTACCACCCTGGACTTCTTTGTGGTACTCATTCCCACCATAATTAGACAATTATTTGTGTTAATTTTTTATTCAGTGTCTGTCCCTCTGCTTGACATGGGCTCCATTGGGCAGGGATGAGGTCTCTTTGTTTCCTGCTGTGTCCCAGTTACCACCCCTAGTCCCAGCAAGGAAAAGAAAAGATAATTGTTTCCCTGCTTTGATAAAATTCTGGGACACGAGGGCTCCTTTGGCACTCTGCATTTCTTTCTAGCATCTTCCCTGTTTGTCCTCAGCGTGATCCATAATGTCTAAGTCAAATGTTTCTTATTGTACTCCCTTTGCTCAGAAGATAGAGAGGAAGGACTTTTTAGCTTTCTGTTTCTCTTTAGCCTTCACTCTGAAAGCTTGTGACTGGTCTTTTCATATTTTGTTGTCCTTTCTGAACCTTCTTTATACTGTGAGAATACAGAAGTTTATTCCTGATTTGGGGTCATGACCTTACACTTATTGAAATTTGTAGTGTTAAGGCACATTGCCAAGAGACTTGGCTGCATTTAGGACATTTTAAAATATACTCTTTTCTGATGATAAGAGTGATATTATTCTTAAAAAAAACCCTCCGGAATACAATAAGGTTCAATAAGAAAAGAAATAGTAGACATTTCCCTAAGATTTTTTTAGTCCTAAAATAGGGTCCTGTTGTATGTATGATTTTTGCCTTGCTTTTTTTTTTTTTTAACTTAACCTCACATTGATATTTTGATAAAAGCCTTAAAAATGAGACAAAATCCTAAGGGGGCCCAGGTTTGGATCAAATGCAAGTCAGCCTAGTCAGTGGCTAGTTCCAGCAGGACCTGCTTTCTCTACAGAGGAAGAGCAGTAACGGACTGCCCTAGCCCCCTTATTCTGTACTGCCTTCGCCCTGCCTGTGGGCATCTGCCCTGCCCTGATCTGGCATGGGCCCCGTGATGACTAATAGCCTGATCTTCTGCTCTCTGTTGATGCCCCCCATGCACTTTATCTCCAGGACATTGCTCTCTATTCTCTTGACCTCAGCATGATCCATAATGTCTAAGTCAAATGTTTCTTATTGCACTCCCTTTGCTCAGAAGACATAGAAGAAGGACTTAAGTGTGCTCCTTAAGCTAAAATTTCTACATTTAACTGCATTGGATGTTCATGGAACCTCTTGTAACAGAATTTTGGCATTTGTTCAGCAAACATTTATTTGACACCTCTTCTGGACCAGCAACTGTTCCTAGGCACTGGGTGTACATTTGTGAAGAAAATAGTATAGTTCCTACTGTGATCTTCTAAACACTAAGCAAATAGTTACATAAATACAAACATGATTTTAACCTGTGATGTATTAATGAAGGAAAATGACAGGGGGTTCTGAGAGAATGCAGTGGGGGGAGACTACCATTAGAGCGTGCTGGGTGTCAGAGAAGCTGATTCAGGAAGCATGGAAACAGACCTGAAGGAGAGCAGTTGGGCCCAGGGGAGACAGCTCTTTGGGAGAGGAGACACTGGTCTGAAGATGAGTTATTTGAAGTAGGGTGTGGAAAAAGGGAGCAGGGGAAAATGGATATTTCTGTTTTCTCATTTTAGTCAGAGTAGAATTGGGGGTCTCTGCATGTCGTGAGCCTTTATTAATTCTTTCAAACCAATTTTCAAAGGATGCGTTTAGCCCTCCTGCAAAGGAGTCTTTTGGTTTGCTTTCTGAGCAGTTCTTTCTGACTAGCCCCTTTTAATTGATGTTTTTGTTCATGTTCCTATGAGACCACTGGGAGAGGTAGAGCAAGACAGGCTTCTGACACCCACCTGTTTGATGAAAAGGATGAACTAGGCTTCTTGGTTGCAGATGTGGTACTGGAATCTGGGTGCCCTAAGAGAACTTGACTGGCCTAGGACTGCTCCACTGAGGGGAAAGAGACCCTGGGGAAGGGTTTAGAAGGACCCTTGGCCACTAACTCTCTCTGGGCCACCAACTCTCCTCCCCAGGAATGGAAATCTCCATTTGATGAGCAGTTCCATGATAAGGAAAGAAAACAAGCCACTGAAATTTCCTGTGAGCCATCAAAAATTGTTTTAGGAGAACATTTTTGTCCCAGTGTGTGTGTAAGAATGCATTCTTTCACTCAACAAACATTGAGAGCCTTCCCTGTGCCCGGCACTGTCCAGATGCTGGGGACCCAGCAGGGTATGTGAGGGGGACACAGACTGAACAAATCAAAAGTGACACAGAGGATGTCAGAGGGATTATAACTACTACAGGGAAAATTAAAGGAGAGAAAGTGGTGGGAGGGAGGTTCACTTGGGAGGTGGAGACAGGTGGTTGGGAAAGGGCTTACCGAGTGATGTTTGAGCAAAGACTTGACCATGGAGCCATGTGGATATTTGGGGGAACAGCATGGGCTAAGGCCTGGGATGTTTGAGGAACAGCACGAGTTCCACCTTGTACGAGTTCTGGAGGGTGTAGGGAGAGGACAGAGGTAAAGAGGAAGGTGGAAGTCCACATGTGAGGCCTTATGGCCACAGTGGGTACTTTGATTTTCCCCCTGATTAAAGGGGAAGGAAGATCTTGGAGACTCTGAGCAGAGGACTTAGAGCTGACTGTAGGGGAAGGGTGGGAGTAGGCCACAGAGGAGACGCTGGTGACAGTGACTCAGGTGGAGGTGGGAAGAGACAGGGATGCAATTTGAAGGTAGAGCTGGGGCCCTGGATGTAGGGTGAGTGAGAAAGAGAAGAACTAGAGAAGAATAGGATTGGGGCAGGGGAAAGAGGAGGCGTTTGGGAGGGAAGAAGGCCTTTGTGAGCCTTGTGTATATACATGGTGTTCACATCCAGGAGATGAGTGAGTGACGTCTATGTTGGGTAGGACTCCAGTGCCAACGGCTTGGGTGAAATGAGAGAAGCCAGTGAAGGAGACAGAGGAGAGGGGGCTGCCAGGTAGGGGTAGGAAGAAACCAGGACTGACGGTGGGTTGCTCTGTGTCTCTCCCCTGTAGGTGTGACAATGTACGTGTGTTTAAGCTGGGCCTCTTCTCGGGCCTGTGGTGGACCCTCGCCCTCTTCTGCTGGATCAGTGACCGGGCCTTCTGCGAGCTGTTATCATCCTTCCACTTCCCCTACCTGCACTGCGTGTGGTAAGCCCCTCCTGATGGGGAGTTGGCTGAGAAAGGTGTCCCTACTTGCTGTTGGGCTCGGTGCAAGGAGCACCAGGTGGGCGCAGAGCCCAGCTGCCTCTCTCCTCATATAACATTGCCAGACATTTCAGAAGCATCAGAAAGTATTGCAAAAAGTGAAATTGGCTCCAGGGAGCAAGGCTTAGGCAGAACAAAAAGACCGAATTGTTAGGCTGCAGGGCTGCATTCTCTCACCTTTAGCTCCATTAATAGCACACAAAGGAGCCTGAAAACTGAATCTGCAACCTGAGCTCTGGCTAGATGGGGGCGGGGTGAGGGAGCTTGGGAGAGAGGTGATGTGAATGAAGCCTGGGTTGGTCCTCAGTAGGAACCACACCTTCAGGGCTGAGTGACCAGGGGAGAGCATGGACATCACAGGGCGCCTAGGGACAGTCTCACCTGTTCCTTGAATAGGTAGAGATTGAAGACCAGATAACCAAGTGAATTGTTCAACATCACCCACCTGTTTATATAAAAACTACCTCAGAGTTAAATAATAGGAAATTGGAACATCTGTATTTTGGGATGCTTATCTACTACTACATTAAAAGAAGAAGTAGTAGGTCGAAGAACAACTTGCAGAATCCTACACTCCAAGCTAAGGGGAAAGGGGAGTGACTTTCTTCCAAGGAAGTGTTTCTGTCTAAACCCAGGGTAATCTTTCCTTCTCTGCCCTCCAAGATTTCTAACTKTACAAGATAACAAGGAGCAGGAGAAATCCGCTGTCTCCAGTCTCTTGTATATTGAAAGCATTGAGAGATGAAACCTAGTGCTAAAGAATTGGAGGCTTTGAAGTCAGATCCAGAAGCTTGACTTCTCTTTAGAAGTGCCATAAAGATACTCAGTTTGAAAGACTTGGCTAAAATTCCCTTGCTCAGATGAACTTGAACTTGTATGTATTTATCATGAGTAAATACATCCTGTACTAAGTCTTGGGGGGACTTCCAGATCTGTTTGCAAAAAAAAAACAAAAAAACAAAAAACATAGGGGCTTGGGTTGTGGCTCAGCCGTAGAGCACTCACCTCGCATGTGTGAGACCCTGGGTTCGATCCTCAGCACCATGTAAAAATAAATAAGTGAAATAAAGGTATTATGTCCAACTACAACTAAAAAAAAAAAAAAAAAAAGATCATAAACAGCACAAGTTGGAGTTTTTGGTTTAACTTCAACTCATACTAGTGAATTTGTACAGCTAAAAATACAATATATTTGTTAAGTTACAATTCACAGATAATAAAATGCATAGATTTTAAGTGCATACATTGATAAATATGCACAGCTTTATAAATTTATGACCTCATTCAAGATTTGTACATTTTTATCAAAGTACAAATTTAGATTATTTGATAACTGGGGCAAAACTTAGTTTTCGTCTGAATTTCTAAATTTGTTATACTTTCTGCTTTGTTTTTCAATTTTTAGCCATCTTTTCTTTCCAGTTAGAAAGTGTTATGTATTTTGTGACAAATTTAAACAACATGGAAGTATAGAARGTGGCTCTCATAATTCTACCTCCTCAAAGAGATAATTGTTAAAGTCTGAAGTGTATCATTTCAGATTTTCTTTTTTTTTCATTAAGTAATCATAATTTATTTTATTTTATTTATTTTATTATTATTATTATTTTTAACTTGAAGAGTATAGTCTATGGTTTATTCATTTTTTTTTCATTTCAGATTTTCTAGTGTGTATGTATATACATATATATTTCTCTCCTATTTTTTATTTTTAAAATCATTTTATTTTAATTGATACATAATAATTTTACACATTTATGAAGTACATGTGACATTTCAGTACATGTATACAATGTGTAATGATTAGAGCAGAGTAACTGCCATCACCTCAGATATTTATTATTTCTTTGTGTTGGTAACAACAGAATCCTCTCTACTAGCTATTTTGAAATATTAGTTGTGCCAAAGAACATTACAGATGTTTCATCCTATGCAACTGTACCCTTGTGCCTGTTAATCATTCTGCATTTTTWAAAATTTTTTATACTGAAGATTGCTTAACCACTGAGCTATCCCCAGCCCTTTTTATATTTTATTTAGAGATAAATTCTTACTGAGTTGTTTAGGGCCTTGCTAAGTTGCAGGCTTTGAATTTATGATCCTCCTGCCTCACCTTCCTGGCGTGTGCCACCAAGCTTGGCTCATTCTACTTTTTAAAAACAAGGATAGAATCATTCTGTAAACAGATATAAACTTGTCATTTTTTAAAAAGACATTTTCTTTTTCATTGTTTTTGATTGCTTTATTTATTTATTATATGGTACTGAGGATTGAACCCAGTGCCTCACACATGCCAGACAGACGCTCTACCACTGAGCCATAATCCCAGCTCAAACTTGTCATTTTTTAAAAAGACATTTTCTTTTTCATTGTTTTTGATTGCTTTATTTATTTATTATATGGTACTGAGGATTGAACCCAGTGCCTCACACATGCCAGACAGACGCTCTACCACTGAGCCATAATCCCAGCTCAAACTTGTCATTTTTTAAAAATCAAATGGCCTGCTGCACCACGCCTAGCCCAAGCTGTCTCTTAATGGATATTTTGTTTGTAATTTTTCACTTTTGCAATCAATCTATAATAAACATCTCTAGTGATTCTAATTCCTGAATATTTCCATAGGTTAAGTTATAGTCTATATTGACAAATCTAGAAAGATGGTATCAATTAATACTTTTTACTAAAGTCTGTAAAGAATGCCTTTTACTCATCCTTTTGCATATAGAAATTATTGACAAATTTTATTAACAAATTATTAACAACTATTTCTTTATTAACAAAATATCTATAAAAAGATCTAAAAGATTGAATAAAAATTTTATTTTTTATTTTCACATCTTTAAAACAACTTGCTATTGTTGGGCATCTTTTCAAATGTAAAGTTGCTATGTGTATGGGGCTGAGTGGTCACTCAGTGGTAGAGCACTTGGCCTAGCATGTGTGAGGCACTGCTTAAAATAAATAAAATAAAGGTCCATTGACAACTAAAAAAAAAAAAAAAAATTAAAAAAAATGCTATGTGTATTTCCTCTTTTGAGGTGTGCCTTTTCATTTTCTTTGTCTTCATTATTGTTTTTATTTTTAAAAATTTATATCTAGCACCCATTGCCTTTTATGTTACTGTCTACACAACTATGTGCCATTTATTATGTAAATTTCCAATATTTTTCAAAAGCCCAAAGAATAGCACATTGAGCCCCATGTAGCCAAACATCTAGATTCCCATAATAAGCAACATGAGGCCAGATCTTGTTCCTAACACCTTCACCCATTCCTCATCCCCACCCAGATTATTTTCAAGCACATTCCAGACATCTTGTGAAATAACTAACTTTTTTCTAAAAAAATGCTTCTATTAGGGCATTATAGTTATAAGTGATAGTTGGTTTCATTTTGACATAATAATACATGCATGGAATTTAATTCCTCCATTGCAGTCCCTGTTGCCTCCCCTTTCTCTCTCTTCTTCCTCTCCCCATATTTCCCTTCCTCTACTCTCCTGGTCTTCTGTTTACTTACTTACTATTTTAATTGGTGCTTTATAGATATACATAAAGATGAAATTCCCTGTGGTATTTTATACATATCCACAGCATAATTTTGACAGATTCATTCTTCTTTTCTTCCCCTTTCCTGTTCCTCCTCTCTTTCCTTCAGTCTCCTTCTGCTCCACTAATCTTCCATCTTTATGATATCGACAGCCTCTACACACTTTTTTTTAATCCCTTAGTTTGCTCTAATTTCCACATATGAGAGAAAACATTTGACCTTTGACTTTCTGAGTCTGGATTATTTCATTTAGCATGGTGTTTTAGTTAGCTATTTCACTGCTGTGACCAAAAGACCTGACAAGAACAATTTTAGAGGAATAAAATTTATTTGGGGTTTATGGACTCAGAGGTTTCAGTCCATAGATAGCCAGCTCCATTGCTCTGGGCCTGAGGTGAGGCCATTATGATGGAAGAGTGTGGCAGAGGAAAGACAGGAGAGAGAGAGAGAGAGAGAGAGAGAGAGAGAGAGAGAGAGAGAGAGAGAGAGAGAGAGAGAGAGAGAATATGCACTCTACTGTCCAAAGACAAAATATATACCCCAAAGGCACACCTACAATGGCCTACCTCCTCCAGCCACACCCTACCTGCTTACAGTTACTCCCCAGTTAATTCCTATCAAGGAATCAATGCACTGATTACAAGGCTCTCATAATCAATCATCTTGCCTCTAAACTTTCTTCATCGTTTCACACATGAGTTTTTGGTAGATACCTCATATCTAAACCATAATACATGATGTTCTCCAGTTCCATCCATTTACCGGCAAATGCCATAATTTTGAAACAACCAACTTTTTTAGTGTTCATTGTAATGCAGGGATTTTTTTAAACTTTTTATCATAAGGTGCAGTTATTTCCCCTCCAGCTTCCTGTTTGTCTTTCAGTATGTTAATGGTATATTTGTGTCACACTGCCTTAAACTTTTGTGTTGTCACATCTGTTAGTCTTTTCTTTAGGATTTCTGAACTCTGTGTCATTCAGAAAGGCTTCGCACACCAAAATTTATGAAAACATGTATTTAAAAATATATTTTACATATATATATTTTAAGTACTTAATTAATCTGGAATTAAGCTTCAGTAAAGGGAATAAGGAAGGATTACAAGTCTTCAAATGATCCATTGCTTGCTCAAGATTAATATTGAAACTTTTGTAGGCACACAAATTTAGATTAAAAACAAAAAGGATTCATCCACAAAACTGCAGACACACTTTCATCAACATAAGCTAATTCCTGATGAAGAGCATAGATGATCCATGACCAGTCATTACACTGAGAAGGTGGGGTCTAGACTGATTTGTCTCCATCTTGGCAATCTAATTTAAGTCTTTGGGCCTCAGTCTTGGTAGAGCTCCAAAAACATTTGCAAGTTTGTTCCAATTATCAGGTGGGAATATTTTAGAACATTCTAAGATGGGGCTTAAATTGCTCAAGACTATCATCCTTGCCATTATGGGATTGTTGGTCACCCTCACCCCTTCCTAATCATGACTATAATTCCCACAGGAAAGGTGAGTTCCCTGAGGGAAGGGCAGTCAAGCTGCCTGCAGTGGAGCTTCGCCTSTCAGGTTCTCACCCCTGTCTCCTTTTGCAGGCACATCCTCATCTGCCTTGCTGCCTATCTGGGTTGCGTGTGCTTCGCCTACTTCGATGCCGCCTCAGAGATCCCTGAGCAAGGGCCGGTCATCAAGTTCTGGCCCAGTGAGAAATGGGCCTTCATCGGCGTCCCCTATGTGTCCCTCCTGTGTGCCAGCAAGAAGTCACCTGTCAAGATCACGTGATGGCAAGGCAGTGGCTGGCTTCTCTGCTTGTTTTCCTTCACACACTGGGGCTTCGTTTGCTAGCAAGGGCAGCCAAGGGGGTTCTAAGAATTGGTGTAGGGTGTATCTTTTAAAAATTCTGTTCCCTTGGGCTCTAATTAGTGTGTGTCTGGACTGCTAGGGTCCCACTGTGCCCCCGGGAGAAGACGGAAAGCAGAGGGCATAGGGACACTAGGTGAACTTTCTCAGCGTCACTTCCAGATGCACTGGTGTGTTGGGCTTCATTCTTCATGGTGGTGGCAGAGCAGTCCCTTGGGGGATCCAGGGCTACCCAGTGCTTCTTTCTGGAGAAAGCTGGCCTGCTCCAGACGCTACCCTCCCAGGCACTCTTGGAGTGGACTCTTGACAGACCGACTCTCCGACTCTCTAATGGAAGGTGCCAGAGATGTTCATTTGGGGAAACTGTCTTTCAACCAAACCAAACAAAACACACACAGGGCTATGGCTCCAGAGGCTAGTTTTTCACTTACACCTCTCAACTAACCCTGGTTGCACATGTACTGTGAGTCCTTTTACTACTACCTCTGCTGAGAGATGGAGACTTAACTTCAGAGAGGGTGAAGCTAATGACTAACTCTCTATGCCAAAAACTGCACTCCACTTTAAGCTGTTCTTGAAGATGAGCACAACTTATAAATGTTGACATCTAAACTTTCTGCCCTCCTCCTCCAGCCCAGTGGCTTCAAATACACAGAGAAGAATAGCTCTGGTGTGAAGATTCCATACACAGCCCACCCTCCCTACCGTTTGATTATCAAAAGGGCTTCATGTAGTTTTTTCAAACTTTCTCATTTAAAGTCTCCAGTATACTATACTGTTTGGGAAATTACCTTTAAAGGTCTTACCTCTTACTTTCTCRGATACATCCTGTGGGAATTAGGCTCCACACTCTCACAGTACACGGTGCTTCCTGTGGTTTTATCAGAGCATTGGCTCACTTTTCTCAGATATTGGCAATAATCACACACTGATTGGCTGGTGCAGGGGGGCAAATCTTGCCTTCTGGGTTTTTCTCGCCTGGCTGCAATGAGTCACTGTGCTCCAATGACACCAAGACTGTCTTCAGGGCAGCAGATGGGCATTACCAACCTCAGGGACTCTCATTTTAACTCAGGCATCCTCTGCTTTGTAACATTCCTGGTTGGGAGAAGGCAGGACAAATAGGCCATTTTGTCCTTTTCCTGTGGGTAGGAGTCATGTCACTGTGTTGAAGGTCTAAGTGTTGGGAGCAGCAGTGTTTGGCATGTCTAGGAACTAACTCTTCCTCTAGTTAGAGTTTGCATAGGATTCGAAGTGAAAGGGCAATATGTAACTGAGTTCAGAGTTTAAAAAGAATAATTGTATTCCACTTGGGTGGTTTTCAAATTTTACATGTAACTCACTGGATTATTTCCTGTTTCTTCCTGTAATAAGAAATATTTATGAAACACAATGCATGAAATAAATTCTATTTTATGAACTTACATATAAGTTTAAATTGATAGCATTTACTTAATAACATATCCAGGCAGTGAAAATACAAATTAACAAATTGGTGCTTTCCAAGGCAAAAAAATCTTGTATTGAATGCATGTACATTTTACTTTATTATAATTTTAAAATATATTTTAAATCATTTTAAATTGAATATCTGCAGAACCCCTAATGTGATTCTCTAAATCCTGCCGATTGGTAGACTAGAACTGCTGTGAAGTCCTTTGGGTTTCAAGTCTAGAATTTTAAAAAGAGAAATATCAGACCATTCTCATTTCAGGTTGACCTTACCAGGCATGAATTATTGTCTCATCTATTTTACAGGATACAATTATTGTCTCATCTATTTAACTAGAGGGTTTGGCGTATTTAAAGCCGAGCTGTCTTAGTATGGAAGCCTGGAGCAGGAGAAGCAGATTGTAAGAAATGGTTCTTTTGGTATAAGTTTAATTTGTCCTGAAGGTTCCCTAGTAACAGGAGGATTATCCTAACATTCAAGGAGTGACTATTTAACTTTACCAAGGAAAGGATRTACTCCCTAGGGGCTCTACCTACACTCCCACCTCCAGACCCTGGAAATAGGGATAACGTATTACATGGATGGGTATATTTGAATGGGCCTGTGAAAAAGAAAATACATACCTTGACTTATTGAGCTATTTCTGTCCCTCTTCTACAAGAAAAATGACTAAGTKAAGATGTCAGGAGTGGTTTTGTTATGAAAAGCAGTATGCCCATCTAGAGATTGGTTCCAAAGAGATGAGAACTAAGGGGGGGGGGGAGTAGAATGGAGTATATTTAAGAGGACAAAACATAACTCTGCTTTTGAACAGAAATCACTACAGCTTGCCAGCATGGGATGATAAAGCAAGAGAGTAGAAATATCCTCATTTATATTTCAGTTGAGTTTAGGACATCATTTGTATTTATAACAAAGCACTACATGCYTTTTAAGGAAAATTGGGCAACTACAGAAAAATTGTAGAAGAAGAAAATAACCCATATCTTTATTGCTCAACCAAAACCATTGTTAATATTTTGATATTTGAATAGACTTCCTTATTTTCTTTCTGTCTTCTTTTCCCCRGTGTAGTTGTAAATAGATATCGTTTAGCATTGACTGTTTATCCTGTAGCTTGAATGGAACGTGAGTGCACATCATGTATTTTTCATGAAGAGCAGGTGTGGAATACACCAGTTAGCTAAACACTGGAATGCCTGTCACTGGGTTCTAAGACTTTCCACTGGATCTTCTGTTTTAATCAAACCTGACATGAATGGGCCTAAGAGATGATGAACTGAATTGTATTTTTTTGATGTACTTCCCCCACCTGAATCCATCGATGTGTCATAGAAAACAGCTGTTAACTATGGAATTTCATAGATTTTGATGTGTTCAGATTTTTTTTTTAATGAACAGCTTATTTCATTAATTGTTGTACAATCAAGAGTCTCCATCCCTCCCTCTGTCCAGTAGACTTGACAGTTAGGAGTTAGGTCATGGTGATAGTTACTCAGAATGACGATCAGGTTGTTGTACTGGTTAGAATTTATCCGAGATCTATATCCGGGAACTGGATTTAGGATAGAAAAACCCATTAATCTTATCAATTGATCATTTTGCCCTGTGATTCTTATTTTAGAGTTGTTTGATTGGTCATTGATTATTAGAAAAAGAAATCTTTCCACCCCTCTCTGGTTATGTTGTAAAGCAAGCACTTGAATGAACATATTGAAGTTATGTGGGGATGAGATGTCAGCATGGGCTACATTTTGGGGGAACTCTGTGCCTGTCCAGAGAAGAGTGCCTGAAACATTAGTTATTGATCAAAGATGTTCTCTTTGGCAACAAAGTTTCATGGTCATCCCAGCCAGGTTTTGTAGAAATACTGCCACCTCTTCMGTTGATTGGATTTCTCAGGTGTGTGAAAACCTCTCTCGCCAGTTCCTCAGGCTTCCGTGAGCCAGGACCATGTTGGGGGCTCTGGGACTGGGATTTGGAACTTCCTTGGTTCTCTGTCTTTTGGGGCCATGGAACCATCTCTGGGGGACAGGTGAGGGCGGAACTTGTCCGGCCAGGGCCCCTTCCTCAGCTTCGTCTCCTCAGTTGAACTTGAGACCTTTGCTATCCAGGCTAGTCCTGGTGTTGTAGTTTCAGCTGGTCAAAGAATCTTCCTGGGCCAGGTTGGAATTCTTAGTGGATTTTATAGACATTATTCTCCTATAGACTTAAAAATACGGTCCCCCCTTGAAAGGCCTCAGTGTTGTATCTTTTCCTACATGTTAAACCAGATTTAGAGACTATTTTATAACTGCAATATGTAATCAGAGAAAATACAGTATTTTCAGATACATCCCTTGTTTTCTACTTCATAGAGGGTGTGCTGGGAGCGTGGCTTGCCTCCTGGCGGGGGAGCGTTTAATCTCCATTGCTTTGGGAGCGATTTAAAGCTTTTTGAAATGGAGCTTTTGCACTTTAGGCTCTTTTTGTGAACTGACTCTGATAACGATATTTAATATTAAAGCTGTAAATGGCATTTTCTGTGAATAAATATGTATATGTTTTTATCTATTTCCAGAGTGGCTTCTGAAGTATCTGAGGTGAAAAGGCATTTCATGGATTATAGAGCAAAGCACATTTGCCCAAGTTCATTTGTTAATGGATTTGGGTATCCTTGTTACTAAACATACATAAAATACATGTAGTTCATTGTTGGTATCTTCTCAGTGCTGTGAAATCAATACATCTAAATATCCCTAGCATAAAGTACCTAGACCTTACATTTATTAGAAGTTCTATAATTATGTCATATGAATATAAAATCTCAAGCATAGGTAAAAGTTCATTTGTGAATTTTTTTTGACATTTCAAAACCAACCATTAATGATTTCAGCAGGAGAATCTGAATCCACCTATATATTTTGCTTAATTTCTTGTGACAGTTCTATTTTTTTTAACTAAATGATTCATTGATCATCAGATTTAAAACAGTAATGTGACCATCAGAGAAGAATGGGGAAAGCATTACCTGTCATTACAGTGGTGCGTTTTAGACTTTTTTCTGGCTAGGGTGAAAGGACATAAAAGTGGCCCTGGGGCCCTATGACATCTGAAGAAAGTGGGGTCTTCTCTCTAGGTCAATACTCATGTATGATTCCTGGGGGTTCAGATGCCCTGGCAGCCCACTCAGCTGAAATTTCCCCATGACAGGATTAAGCAAGGAATCAAATTCTTACTGATGCTGAAACTGGTTTCTCAGTCTTGAGGATTGACTCTATTTGGGGGCTGTGGGCAGGGACAGGGGCTGAGGAAGCTGAGGGCTCTGTTTGCAGGAACAGTGGGAAACATCACCCCAGGACACACCTACTCCCTTCCCGTGCATTCTGACTCTGTCTTCTGCTCCCTGTGGGTGTTAATCTTGTCCTGGATCTGGTCCAAGGGAATACATTTTTTTCAGCTCCCCTTTCCCACCTTCCCTGAAAGACCAGAGCTTGGACCAGTCTCCCCGACTCTTCTCTTTTGAGGACTTTACATTAAAAGATTCTACATGGAAATTAAATTCCCAAAGGAAATTAAATCAATAATTCAAAGAGATACGTGCTGCTGTCATATATAACCAGTTAGAATTAAAAAAATAAAAAAAGAGAAACCAGTACTCCACACAGAACTCCGTACATACTCCATACAGAACATTCACAATAGCCAAGATATGGAATCAACCAGGATGTCTGTTGACAGATGAATGGATAAAGAAAACATGTACATATATACCATGAAATATTATTCAGCCTTAAAAGGATCAAAATCCTGTCATTTGTGGCAATATTGATGGAACTGGAGGACATTATGTCAAGTGGAATAGGCCAGGCACAGAAAGACAAACATTGTGTGTTTTCAAATATGGAAGTTAAAAAAGCTGATCTTGTGGAAGTAGAGTGGAACAGGGGTTACTTGAGGCTTGGAAGTGTGGGAAGGGAGGAAGCTGGAGGTTGGATGATGGGTACCAAAATACAGTTAGATAAGAGGAATAAGTTCTAGTGTCCCATGGCACAGTAGGGTGACCACAGTTTTCAACAATTTATTATATATTTTATAAAGAATTAGAAGAGAGGAGTTCTCAGGCCCCCAACACAAAGAATTATTGGGTGTTTAAGGAATGAAAATGATGGCTTTCCTGATTTTATCATTACATGGCATATATATTTATTGAATTATTACATTGTACCCCCCAAATAATATTATGTGACAATTTTAAAAAAGGCTATACATGACATTCAAAGGCTTACTTTAAAGGACTGGAGAGAGGCATGCCCAGGGTGCTGGTAACTTACATCTTAGGAGGCCTCAACAAATCTTCCTCCAAGCCTCTTTGCAGTTTATAGTCTCAGACAATCCTTCAAATACTATCTTAAGGATTTCGGTTTCTCCTACTATTCTAACTACTTCTGTATTATGGCATTTTTTTCCAAAATAAAAAGTTCAAAAATACAGTTTGGGTTTTTATTCTCTACTCTCTTTGGGCAGGGCTCCGATTCCAGGCCTATCTTATTTTTATTTATTTATTTTTTTTGAAGAGGCTGGGTCTGCCATGTTGCCTCAAATTCAGGCTCAAGTGATGCTCCTGCCTCAGCTTCGGGAATAGGAGAGGCAAGAGGCACCTGCGACTGCACCTAGCCTGTGCCTCACTCATGCAGGCCAGCAGCCCTTCTCCCTTGATATTTGTCTTAAGTGGCACTTCTGTCTCTGAAAGTTTTCAGGCTGATGACATCCAGTTTACCTAAGAACTCTTCTGTCTGGTATCAACTCACAAAAAGGAAAAAAATTAGCCCAAAACACATGAGTTTTTGTTTTTGCAACTGATCAACTGAGAGCGACAATAACACTATTTTAAAATATAACAAGTAGCAGTAGAGTCAGTAGAATTTATCTTTATATTAGGGCTAGTGATGAGGAAGTGGTTGAAGGTAAGGGCAGGAGCACAAAGTGACAGCAAATGCACAGTGGTATTGATGATATTTATTAGGGATTCCTATGAGCAAAGCAAACAAAGCCGCTGAGGTGGGAGGGACCTGGAGACACTCCCAGAGTGATATTGCCATCTCGTGGTCATTTTGGGTATTGCTGTTGGTGGCCAATTCCTAGTCTTCCCAGACAGAACTCACTATAATTGTCTGAAAAACTCCCACAGGTTATGTAAATTCTTTTTGGGTCCAGAGATGTTTCCCTGGACTTTTTCAAGTGCAAGCATCTCTCTGCTGCCACATTCCTCTTTTCTCTTCCCTCAGTAACTTGTTCTCCATCTCCTCAGTATTTGATTATTTTAGAGTTTTAAAAATCTGCTGAATGTGAATGTAAGTACATTCATACATGTCACATAGATATGATCAAGAGGAAGTTTTTAACCCACTGGAGCTAAATTTAACTTTTGAGATTAGTAGCTCCAGTCAAGTGCTGTTACGACCCAAATCTCATGAAACTGTATTTAGTTTACTTACTTATTTTGCAGTGCTGGGAATTTGAACCCAGGGCTCCAACTCTGAGTTACACCTTCATGCCAAGACTGAATACAGTTTAAATCAACACTCAGCATGTGCTTGCTTCACACCAGCAACAGAGGGCTGCATGGAGGGGAGGAGTCACACATCTGAATTCTTGCAGGAGGGGATTCA